TTAAGAGAAAGTCTGTGTGAATACCGACCACATTGGCCGGAGCTAAAATTTCTTTTTGGTTCTTAGTATTCTAGTTCGAAAGAGCTCATCGAAAAACTAAGCAATCCAAGATGTCTCGCCTCCGTATAGCAGTAGTAAGATTCTATAAGAACCATCTATTTTACTGGGCGTACTAATAAAAAACAATCGATATTTTCGACTAACAGTGCACTATAGCTAAAGACGAATTTTCTGTGAAAAACCTGGTTTTTCACATTGTTTTCATCAAAGCATATTTCGGTATTTTCCCCAACTTTGAGCTCGATTTTCTCAGCCAATACGCATTGAGCAAAAGTACTACTTTCAGCAATTGCAGTACTATGCGTATAGATGCAATTCCACTATGACGCGTCATTGGCTAATCCCGTGATTGTCTTTGGCGTCGGTGCAAAGTTAACGAAAAGGAGAAAATAACTCTCAATGATTGCTCTGCTATTCAGTCTCAGAAATAACTGCAGGCCTCAGACTTTCACAGTTGGATAGAAGACAGTTAGGACATTCTTGAACACTTATTAGTACTAAATTTTTGTTTCGTCTTTATAGATACATTTGAGTGAGAAAAACACAAAAATGACCATTTGGAATCATTTTTTGTCAAAAAACAGAACACGGAAAAAAAGTTTCCAGTACAAAAACTGGTCACAATAACGAGTAGTAAGTAGCGAGTAATCTATGATAAAATCACTGTTACAATTACGGCTGAAATGCCCTTAACTTGGTTTAGCCTGATTAAGAGTTTATTAACGATACATAGAAAAACTTATTATTAAAACACGAATTTTCAACCTATGCATAAGGTCATTATCAAGTGAATATGCCGTACGGAGTGTCACACTGAAGCAAAACAGTTACAGTAAAGTAACTTGATAATAACCAATTAAATCCAATTAAATTCCTGTTTTAATAATAAATTTTTCAGTGTACCCTTGATAAACTTTTAATTATATTAAACCAAGTTATTTTAGCTGCAATTCCACTAAAGTTTTTATTTCTAGTGGTTTTTTTTAGTTGTTGCCCTTTAATAATAACAATGTTGCTTTGCTTATATCTTATAGATGTATCCATATACTCTTTATATCTTCGTCGTACTTTTTGTCAAATCATTTTTGACTCATAATCTGTTTGATGACCTTGCAGAACAGATTTCATTTTCTAATGAGGAGGCGAGACCATATGACATTATGAAAGAAGAACGGACAGTCAAAAAAAGTACTGATAAGTCCGTCAAGGAAATCTACGGTCTTGATATTGTTGGATGTGGTTATGACATAGCAAGTTTAACATCAAAACAGTGCCTAGTTGATACCAGTGAAGTAAATGATACTGGTTCATGGGCCGATCCGCTAAACAATTCGTTGTTGTTTACCGTACCTTATGGATTTCACGCGTTCAATGCACCTGAAGCATTGAGTGTAGACGAGATAGTAATGATAACGACGATTGATGATTACTGGAAAAAAACACACTATGTAAATGAAGAAGACGATGACGGTTTTCTTGGTTTCGGAGCGAAATATGAGAAAACCGAAATAGACACTGTATACAATAGGTTTTTCAAACACACGTACTATCTGGCATCAACTATAAGACAAATCATTTGGTATACGCTCACTGTTGCCACTTTTCCACCGCCAAAACTAAACCCATACGCTGAAAAATTATTCAAGTCGCTGCCGGCTAATTTCAATATATCTGATCTGAATAACACAAGGTTCTTTCGTCAGTTTTTCGACGCATTTGGAACACACATCGTCACAAGCTCAGCAATGGGTGGACTTGTGTGGGCACTAGACTGGTACGAAAGTTGTCTATTAAAAATAAAATCGACGACATGGATTAAACACCAAGTCAAAAGGCGGCACGATCCACTTGGCATTTTTCGTTCAAGTAGCGAATCCGAAGAGACAACCATATCATTGGAAGAGACGTTTACAAATTATTCAACGTATTCACTTCAGTTGATCGGCGGCACAGAAACTATACCTATTGATCAATGGAAACAATGGATACCGACGATCAAAGAAAAACCACGTCCAGTAACGTATCGATTGAGACCGATTTACACGCTACTGCCCGTTGGCAGTCCAGAACGAGAAAAATTGAAGCAGGCCACATTCAGTCTTCGGACAGAAATGAAGAATAATGCGTCACAATATATTACGCAGCTACAATTGGTACCACCACAACCTGCATCTATGTGTAATCCGCCACCAACGCCTCCACCTACAGTTCTCTTTGAAAAACGGTCATTATCATCAGCATTTCAGCTAGGGAGCGAGGAGGTAGATGAATTTTGCCCGTATGTATCGTACAACGGTGTCGTTTGTCATGGTAAAACAAAAAAGAAGCTATTGTTACCATCGGCGAGAATGGTGGATAATGGTCCGACAAAATTACCCCGTGGCGTTGGTATGAGTTTCGATATCATTACTGGTGAGGTGATGTTTCCGGCGTTACAACTGACCTACAACAGTAGTAGTACATGGGTGGATCCGTCCACTAAAAAATCTTTCATTCTATTCAATGAAGCTATTCTCAAATCAGCACCGACAAAGAGTGTGTTCGAACATATGTTTAAAAATGAAGAGGATATGTTCCAATTTTGGCAGCCGAAATACGTTTCTGGTCCGTTGTACGGAGGTGAATTTGGTCGAGTGAAAAAATTTATGCCGTATTATAATAAATATTTTTCTAAAGATGAATATTTGTGGATTCAACAGACGCCTTATGCTCTATTCTCGTTAGAAGTTCCTGCAGCTAAAATGAAACTGAATCGCTTGGCTGAACAGGCAATATCAATGCTGCCTGCTGTTTATAACGCCGAAGTGTATAAAGATTTTATGGGAACATGGGGTACTCATATTATTGTCAAATCGCTTCTTGGTGGCATGTACGAAGAACAAGCAAAACTGAAAGCATGCTTAACACTGCCGCAGTACAATCCGACCAATACCACTGGCAATATAAGCTGCGTTTTCTTAAATGCATCCCTTGAATGTCTTCATTTTCAACAACGAAGTGATGTCATTGCCAAACGTTATATTGGTGGAGATGCTGAAGTAATTGAAAAAGACAATTGGCAAAAAACAATCTCGCTGAATCCCGCCCTGCTGCAAGTTGACCAGATGATTACATGGTATGATTTCGTTGAGGATATAGTGATCAAAGAAAATTTATACAAAGCATACAATGATCGGTTTTTGCGTGTGCGCGATGAACAACGAGCTGAAATATATGAAATTGTTACGCAACGAGGGTCGATTCAACGTACAATAACAGAGTCAAATAAAACAATAGTACTGGATGGTAACGTCTGTCCGCCAAATTCAGCACAAAATACAACTATAGAGGCATGTGTGATTCGAAGCTCGGTCAATTATGCCATCAGCGCAACTTGTCCAAATGACTTACAGGTGTTGTACGAACGTGACATGTCGAATGGACAATTCCGTACAGTGATAAAATATCCAGTTGTCTTTGGACAGCCGGGTGAGTATATAGTTTTAAAATCCGCAGCTATAAATATTTTTCTCGCCATTTTTTATAGAGTTAACTACAGATAATGCTCCCTGGGTTGAGTTGGGCTGTTCAATTCCAACGGTTTGTAGCCATCCGTCTGTTATTTTGTGTTCAAATTGCGTTGCTGCTCTACCACCCAATGGTTTGTGTGACTGTCCGCCATACGAACACAAAGCACCCAAACCGACGACTACCGCACCACCATCTTTGCCAACTACAACACCACTGTTCGGACGTGAATTGGAGTTTCTTGGTGACCTTGTCATCTCTTGATGACAAGGGGGATAATAAAGCCTTTGGGACGAAGGCAATACACAAACTCATGAATTTTTAAGTTGTCAGCTTCTTGTTGTTTTGTATAAAAACTCGAAAAAACACAGATTTCAATAAGATGGGTGACTTTCGTAAAGACTAAGCTGTAGTGATGGCGAACATCAGCACCATGGAAATGACAATGCTTATTCTATTCTGACGTGCGGTGAAATAAGTAGCTGATCAAAAAAACATAAAACATTGCTACCGCGAAATAAAAATGATCCAAATTTCTGAACAAATTACACATCGTCAACCGAGCAAACATTCTCTTGGTGAAAAAGGAGTATACAACTAGATGAGCTATTCTGTGTCCTAGCAAACCCTTGTGAAAAACTTCAAGAGCAAAAAACAGCTTACTAAGGCGGTCTGAATGTATATTAATAGTGGGGAAAAAATTAACAGAAACTTGAAAGAACGAATTCTGCATAGGATGGAGGCCAGTGTGTCGAGTATGAGAAAGCTTTTAATTAAAAGAAAATGTCATGCTATATTTCTACGAAATCTTTTCATTTCTGAGTTTTGTGTATCATGGTGAACTAGATTTATTCACACATATCGTATTAAGACCATTCAAAACCTGATAAGCGACGTACGTTAGTCGCGGTAACATTGTTTACACTATTATAACGACCATCGGGCTGATTGGTGGGTTGACAAAAGTGTACAAATTTACAGTTCTTCTACTAGGGAAACTGATGTACTCAGTGATCATTGCAGTAGCCGTAAATAATTTGCCTTAAATAAATATCTGTACTACGTTGCGTTGGACTATACTTTCCATTGGTGAATAATCCTAAATGAAAGGAAACCGAGAACGGAGTCGCATACGTATATTTCTCGTCCAAGATCTAAGAAAAACCTGGAGTAACTAACTGACTTTTACATCGGAATGGCTATGGAAACCGTCGAGCTAGCAGCAGGATTCTATCGCCTGTAACAAAATGCAGTTACACATTCTGTGTTGATTTTTGAATAGAATATTTTGTTCCTGCATTTTCTGAGAATTCGTAATCTGTGGTAAGGTGGAGTAAGAGAAGATAAAAAGATAAGACATGTTAAGACAAGATACAGTAAATTAAGTAAGGGAAAGTGAGGCAATCTCAAACTTTTCTGCGGCGAAGAAGGAGGTGGGTCGTGAGAGTGAATGAAAAAACAACATTCTTCTCATTGTGGTGGTTTGTTGGTGCACTCCATTGAGAATAAGATTTATTGGACTCTTTACGAGTTCAAAATCGACTCCCCAGCTTCTCCTAAAGTAGCTGAGAGTGTAACCTTCATTTGAACTGTGACGAGTTAGAAATAGTCTCCCCAGCCTGTCCAATCCCCATAAAGTAAGTAAGAGTAGAACATTTATTTGGACTTCTTACGAATTCAAGGCAGACTCCCCAGTTTCCTTTCAGCAAGGCTAGAGTGAGCAGCTAAATAACGTTCATTTAAACTCGTTACGAGTCTAAAAGATGGTCTTTCATGTAAGTGCGTACAGGCCTTTATTCATCTCGTTACGAGTACGAATTTAACATGAAGTCTGTTATCTTCTTGAATTATGTCATAATATCGTTGCATATTATATGAAAATGATTTAGTTAGATTTGTAGATTTCACATTCATGAAAATCTGTTGATGATGTATACCATATATTATTATTTTTATCTTCTGTTATTATTTGTTGGCAATCATAATCATGTCGGTGTGCGGTTATATCAAATATCCCACGCATTTCAAGATACTGATTCATTAAATCTTTTAATAAATTTATCCGTTCTATGGAATCGCATGACTTAAGTCACTTCGGAATATCGATTAATATATTTCCAGTATTGAAGACATAGGTGATTCCATGCACTACATATGACATTCGATTTAAATAAAACTCCTTTCGTGAATTTTATAATAAGCAATTAACAGTTTTCATTTCGACCGATAATGTTCCAGAAACGATGTGCGATCTGGATAGTTTTGCAACAAGTGAAACACGTCTATATTTTCTGTCCTAATTCGGATTATGTGATCTTAGAATTGCAGTCAAGAAAAGAAGAAGAGAGTTTATTCAACGAAAACGGTTCCTTTTTTCTGGTCTGTTTCTTTAAGGGAATGTACCATGTTTAACTGTAATTAACTAAACTCTAATTAAAATCTGGTGATATTGTATTCAAGTAGTAATGTATAATTTTTTGCTGCGTGGGGTAGCTGTTGGTCTCAAGTAATGAGTCTAACATCAGTAGAATTTCATTATTTTTCGATTTGTTCAAAATGTCCTAATAAAGTAAAAAAAACGAACAAATGGACTCAAAAGAGGTCAATTAAACGCTTGAAAATGTTACGCGTCTCCGTAGCGGGGTAATGTTTACATGTGCGACAATGCAGATAGGCTCCGTGCCTTTTTATACCTGAATAAGGAGCCAGACACACCCAGCAGAACTCGTGTTTGCATTTGAGACAGGTGATATGATCACAGCCTTCGTTCTTCTCAATGTGAGAGAGACATTTGGGACATTTCTTCGTATGCACATCGATCCACCGTTCACTAGCGCGTAGCTGTCCATCGGCACGGGGCAGATCGTACTCTTCGCACGTCATCCCATCGTGCCATGGACACTTATGGGTGAAACAAGTTAATTTGTGGCAACTGATGCATTGAACAGTATTATTCATTGCTGCGCCCTCATTCAACTGACCTGAACCACAGCCATGTGAACACCAGACAAATTCGGGGCTTTGTTCGAGGCACCTGTCAAGGTCTAATTTTGCATACCGCTCGTAGAGAGTAGTGTCATTATGGTTGAAGGTAATGAGTCTGATGGCAGCATGAGAAAAGGGAATGGAACATTCGGGACAATGAATATCGGGACCCACGTTCCAGGTGTAGCGCACATGTTCATACATGCAACTATCACAGATTGATTGGATTGGATGCATACAGCGACTGCTGTAGCATGTTTCAAAGTCTTGAAATGGCTTCGATTCCATACAGACGGCACACGGTCGCTCGAGCGCTGTTTCATTCTCGCTTGATCTATGAACAGAAAGCAGTCTCGATATATTTTGAATGAGTGAAGGCGTCTCAACTGTTTCCTCTTTCTAACGCAATCACGACACTTGTATCGCGCCTCCCTTAAGAACCCCTTTCTGCCATTCAAGATTGCTGGCGGGTATTCACCTTGACACAAAGCCCAGATTTTCACGTTCTTGGTTCATTGCAGGGCATCGATTCTACCGGTAGCACAAAAACAGCTGTGATGACTCATCTTTTTTCTCCTATTTAAGCTCCCTTTTTCAGTATTTTAAATCCTTCTTCCACAATTTTTGAGCTAGAATTTTGAATTTCGTCTCATTCGAAAGAGAAAAGCACCAAATAGATTATAGTACCACATTGTCGAATTTCGATTCTTAGAATTAGCTATGAATTTTAAACGTTGTGAAATTTTGAAACTTTCAGCATTTTTTAACTTCTCAGCTTACGAATCAAAATTTAAAATGTAGTACGGTGATCGATTGAGCGGCCGATTCTTTACCGAATGAAACTACTCCAAGCCCGATCGGTCAAAATATGTGGGACTACTTAGTTTTGGCGCGACACCTATGTTTGGTCAATGAAATAACTTTTAAAAGGTTTTGAAATCGGTTGAAATTCCGTACCCATCCCAAGTTATCAATTATCGATGGTGCTCTACCACCACAAAAAATTTCAGCGCGATCGATCCATGGGGACGTATTTGGATTCCTAAGTGGGAAGGGCCTTAAAGCCTTTGTTATATTAAATATCCTACATTTGAACAAAGACTTCCGTATTTTTATTTATCAAGCCAACCTTCGGTTTGATTTCGAGTCTTAACATTCGTTCTATGGAAAGTCAGAGTGCTGGGAACAGATCATTCCAGATTTGAAATCTGAAACTGTGGTTATCATTCGAGGGAGTATGCAAGAGTGGACAACTTACGAAAGTTTCATACTTTTAAAATTTTTTCTGTGAGTCCTTGATGGATTTTATCGGAAATCTGCAAAAATGGACGCTAAGCGATGTAACACTGGATTTGAGATTTTCTTCTCGTGTGATATGAGCGATGGCTTAGCACGCTTGGTCACGAATGGGGTTTGTTACAGACTTAGTAAAAAGGCATTTACTCAATAGAAACTTACATGTGCCACGATTCCATTTGACAAGAGATCGAATCTTTTGCTGTGTTGTCACCCTTGTTAACCAAGTCTTGTATCATTGATAATTTTGAGAAATGAGGTAGCTGGTGGAAGTGTCGTTGAACGATGAATCGTATTTAAACTATTTTTTTTCATTTTCCTTTCCACGTCAACTCTTTTTCATCTGTATGTAGGTTTTTTACTTCTCGTTCTTTCACTTGAATTTTGCTTCTCTTCGGAGAGGGGGAGGAGTGCTTATAAGAATGAATCAATGTGAGTCAGCCAGCGTGACGCTGCTAAGCAAGAATAATTCCGGTGCAAGAATATTGATCCTCTTACTCAAAGCATACTGCGCTTCTAGAGATGATGAAAGATGGGGAGGCCTGAAAACCACTGTCTTCTTCATTGTGTTACCTTCCACTTCCCCGAACACAGCCTAAACATTTTTAATAATTCTGTTGCATAAGAGTACCTTCCTTTTCGCGGTCTCAAGCTGTTTGTCGAGGGGCATATGATCGAGCTAACATTTTAGCACAGACAGAGCATAAAGAATGATGAGACTTATCCTCGGCATAGTGACATAGTGAAGTTTTTC